ACTTTTCACGGCTCATCTTTTATTCTTCTTTATGTTTGCTTGTTTGAGACAGGGTCTCACTATGTAGGTTAGGCTGGCCTTGAACTCACTGTGTAGTCCAGGCTGGCATCCGCCTTCCAAGTGCTGGGATTACACCACACCCATCTTACTTCTTAAGGATCTTTGGTATACCCATGTATCCAAAAAAAATCATCTTTTGCATGGCTATTCTTAAACTCTTTAAAGTTTTATATAAATACTGTGGGTTTTTGGTTTTTTATTTGGGATGAGGTCTCACAATGCTGCCCAGGCTAGGGCTCAAGGGATCCTCTTGCATCAGCCTCATGACTAGCTGGGACTACATGTACCACTGTAACTGGCTAAAAATACCATTTAATTATATAGTTATTCCCCTTTTGAATTTCTAATCTATATGCTGATTTGCTACTTGACTTGACATGATTTACTATTAGTTTTTATTACCAATTTTAAAATATCAGGTCTATCAGTTTTTCCTTTGTAGCTCACTAATTTCTCCTTTTCTATTTACTGATTCCTTCTGCTTCACATATGTATACTTTAACTTCCTTGATTGAATGTTTCATCAAGACAAAAACCATAGAAAACCATCCATATTCAGTTCAATGTCAATTGAGACATGTCACATATTATTTTACCTCATCTTTCTCATTTAGATTTTTAAAATATAACATTGTCTGGGGAAGTAGCTCAGTGATAGAGCACTAGCTTAGCATGAATGAGGTCCTGGCTTCACTCCTAGCACTAGAAAAAAATAATAATATGGTTCATCATCACAGAATAAACAAATCTATGCCTGTGTATGGCTCATTTCATGTGGTTTTGACAATTTACACTTATAAAAGTTCATATCTTTTTCTACTGTAGCTCCTTGTATCTTATTCTGAAAACACAGCAGAAATCTGTCAGGTCCAGGGTTGAGCTTGGAGGATTTTTATCTATGAATAGACCTGATGTCACAGCTCTTTCTCTGTAACTAGCCAATTTCCCAAGATGTTTAAGATTCTGAAGGCCTGGACTTTGGCTAATCTAACCCAATATTTTAAACAGTATTGTAAGTTCCCAATCTGTATCCCTACTTTACACATTAAAAGGATATATCTTTATATTTATACTGATAAACCCAGAGAGAATAAGGGGAAACATCTACAATAAATGTAGAATAAATACTGCAATTAGAAAAATTTAGGGCCAGGGATTTAGCACACTGGCATAAGTGCCTGTCTGGCAAGCGTGAAGTCGTGATTTCAATCCCTGGTACCACCAAAAAGAAAAAAATAAATAAATAAAAACCACCATTTAACAGCCATAATAGTAGTAAGTAATTCAGACAAGAATCATTAATGAATCCTAACATGAGGCAATGAAAGTTTGAGAAAGTTTGAGATTACTTACAAAACCCCAAAATATCTCTCTACCAAGATATCTATTAATAAAACTTTTACTGGAGAAATCCTGTGGACATAACCTTAACCAAAGCTCAAAGTTTACATCATCATTAATGTGACAAGCCAGTATCAAGTATTACTTGATATGGAACATTTGGAAAGGACACAGCAGCATCACTTCTTGGTATTCCTGCCAAAGATGTACAACATGACACCCATTTGTGAGGAAAAATCAGGAAAATTCAAATTTTAGGACAACCTATAAAAAATAACTGTCCTGTTATTTCTGACCAGAAATGTCCTGGTCAAAAAAGATTTAAAATGACTAAGAAAATATTCCAAATTAAAGGAGTCTAAAGAAATATGACCACTAAATGCAACATGAAATCCTGGTTCAGATGTCTTGAAACACAAGAAAGAATTGCCATAAAAGACATTACTGGAAAAAGTGGAGAGATCTAAACAAAGTCAGTCATCAGATAATATTTTAATATGAACTTTCCTGCTTTCAATAATTATATGGAGGGGCTGGGGGTTTAGCTCAGCGGCATAAGCACCTGCCTTGCAAGCAGGCAGTCGTGAGTTCGATCCCTGGTACAGATAAAAAACGAAAAAGACAAAAAAAAAAAAAAAAAAAAAAGAAAGAAAATTATATGGAAGAAAATGTCCTTGTACTTAGGGAATATATATGAGGGTAAAAGTCATGTCTACAATTCACTATTACACAGTTCAAAAAAATTGCCAGGCATTGTGGCACATGCCTGTGCATATCCTAGCATTCAGGAGGCTGAGGCAGGAGGATTGTTGCCAGTTTGAGGCCAGTCTGGGCTACACAGTGAATTCAAGAGCAGCCTGAACAACATAGTGAGACTCTATTTCAAAAAAACAAAAAACAGAAACAAAAATTAATATGTTCATATATATAGACAAAAAAATATTCAAATGTAATAAGCAAAATGTTAATTACTGCAGAATTTGGGTAAAGGATATGACAGGAATAGCTGTATTATTCTTATAACTTTCCTAAGTCTGACATTTTAAGAAACAAAACAAAACCTCATGTTTGCAAGCAAATGAGCAAAGTAGAAGATCTATCAACTGAAGGAGCAGGTGTGCTGTTTTAGCAGATAGTTCAACTGGGATATGAGGGACAGATATGTCTCCTTTACCTCACAGTAAATCTATCATCCACAAGAATTGCCACAAAAGACCTGTCCTGGAACAGGAAGCATTTGTTTAACCATTATTCTTTAGCTTCTGGGCAGCCAACCCTAAGAGAGGCTCTTTTATATGCTGTCTTACTTAGGTCTCTGCAGCCAACAGTCAGTCTCTAAAAGGTAAGAGATTTTGACCAAGGAATTCTGAAATCCCCTCCAAATTACCTACTGAAAAGAGGCTACCATAACTTACAAACTTCAAAACAAGACACAAAGCCTAACATCCTCAAGATCTATTTCACTGATCACGTTTTTGGCTTTCAGAGGGAGTAAAAGAAAATAGCCACTATCCAGATATATTTATTCAGATTATTTACTGTATCTGATTGAAGTTCAGTAATATAAAAGGAAATACACATTGAATTTACAATCCAATTCAAATTAAGGAAAACAACCCAATGGTCCCATTACTGAGTATATAACCAAAGGAAATAAAATCAAAGAGTTATTTGCACTCCCACAGTAGCAGCACTATTCACAACAGTCAGGATTTGGAATCAACAAATGTCCATCAACAGATAAATGGATAAAGAAAATGCAGTACATATATATATAACAGAATGAGATTCAGCAAGAAGAAGTGATGAAATCCTGCCATTTACAACAAGATGGATGAACCTGAAGGCTATGTTAAGTAAAATAAGCCAGACACACAAAGACAACTACTATATGATTCACACATATGAGGAATCTAAAATTTAATTTCATGGAAGTAGAGATTAGAATAGCGGATACCACAGACTGGGGAGGCACAAGAAGAAGGAAGGAGAGTTGGTCAATGAGTACAAAGTTACAAGTAGACAGGCGGAATAAATTCTGTCGTACTACTGCATAGTAGGGAGATGATAGTTAACAACCATTTACTATGTATATCAAAATTGCTAGAGGACCTACTGAAAGCACTTCCCACAGAAAAATGAGAACTATCTGAGATGATGGGTAATTACCTTGATTTGACTATTATACAACATATATACATACTGAAACATCACATTATATCTCATAAATACATACAACTCTTACCTATCAATTAACAAATAATTTTAAGAGCTGGGCATGGAGGCATAGGTCTGTAATCCCAATGCTCAGGAGGCTGAGGGAGGTGGATTGCTATGAGTTTAAGGCCAGCTTGAGCTACATAGTGACCTCAAGGTCAAACTGAACTACATAGGGAGACCCTGTCTCAAAAAGTCAAAAAATAACAATAATAATTTTTAAAATATACAAAACCATTCCACCATACAATATTAGAGCAAGTGGCTGGGGATTTAGCTCAGCGGCATAAGCGCCTGCCTTACGATATTAGACCAAAGTACCTCTAGAGTGGCAGTGTGTACTAACTAGTAAAGAAGCCTTCAAGTTGGTAGAAATGATACATATCTCGATCTTGGTTGCAGTTACTTGACTCTGTAATACAAAAATTCATTGCACTACATCCTTAAAATAAGCATTATTTTGACTATGTGTATAGATGTACTTTAAAAAAATTTATTAATCTAGAAAAATGTTTTAAAAATAAAATATTCTTAATTAAAATGTTAAAAATTTTGTTCAAACAGACCCACATTTTGCCACTAACCTCCCCACACCCCACTTCCATGAATGTTCCTTTATATTAAAGGTCAAAAACAGACAAGATCAAGGTGGTTGTTGTGATGCACACCTGTAATTCTTGCACTAGGTAGGCTGAGGGAAAAAGATCACCACTCAGTTTGAGGCTAGTCGGGGCTACACAGTGAGTTCAAGTCCAACCTGAACTACATGATGAGATTCTGTTCAAAAAATAAAAAATAAAATAAAAGAGCCAATCTGTAATAGTAGAAGTCAGGAGGATGATTGCCATTGGTATAATTACTGGAAGGGCATACCATAGGGGCTTCCAGAGTGCTACAAATGCTATTTTCTGATTTAAGTGTATTATCCACAGGTGATTTCTTTGTGACAGTGCAGTGAACTGTATTTGTATATATATATATTTTGCATGTATCTTAAATCTCCAAAGTTTCATAAGGAATTGATTCATAGAGGTCAAACATGCCTAAAAAATACAGGGCAAACCAGGCATGATATGTATGCCTAGGATCCCAGTACTCTGGCAGCAGAATCCTAAATTCAAGCCCAGCTTGGGTAATTTAGTGACTTAGCAAGACCTTAACTCAAAAAAAAAAAAAAGGTTAGGGATGTAGCTCACTGTGAAGGCCCCGGGGTTAATCCCCAGTATCATAAAACAAAACACATCATGACAGTGTCTCTTAGAACACAGTAAGTTTCTTTTCCTTTGATAAGTTACGTTTAAGGTTAGCCTAGAAAAAATTTCCAAACTCAATTTACTTTTTTAGTCAAATCTTAATCTTACATTATCAGCTTAGATACTTACTTAGTAAACTTTCTGTTTTCTAACCATAGGCAAGGTCACATCCATTTTGGTTGCCATAGTGTAAGAAACTAGGTTCACTCTTGGAATGAGGTCACAGACAGATATGTCATCATCTTTGCTAAAAAGAACCCTAAAGGAAATACGAAAAAGAAATATGCATTAGATTTCTGACAAGAGCAAAAGGAGCTACATCTTTAATAAGAGGTTACTTAGTAAGTACTTGATCTTTTGAAAGCATTTTCATTATTGTGTGGAGCTATTTTAAAAAGGAGAGGGTTTGAGTTTTGAGGTGGCTCTTGGCCAAGAGGGACTGCATGGAACTGGCTTCTCAACTAAGGAGTGTCACATCAATGAAATGGTTATCCATTATATGGGGTTGCAGCCTCAAATCCTTGATTCTCCTGTGCACAATCTCTGAATTTGACAAGTCTCCTCAACACCAATCCCTATAAGGTTTCTAATGACAAAGAAACACGGTGTCTCCAATCACAATCCCCCAAATCTCCAAAGCCCAGAGATTTCTGTACTCACCAATATCCTGATGTGTCCATATCTAACCAAAGAAAGCCGCTGGTCAGTGACTACATAGTTCACTGATACAATCTGATCAGTCTTGAACCTACCCTGATCTCCAGTGATATTCCAAGACTTGAGACCAACAGCTTATCGCACGGTGTTTCCACTCTTATAGCCCAATCACGAACCCACTCTGATCTCTTTATACCTCACTCCCAGATCTACAAAAGTTCAATCATGAATACCTTGGTATTTCTCATCAAGGATCAATCACTAATGGCTCAAAGCATGTCTTCACATCGAGCCCCACTGACTCTCTCAGCATGCAACCCCAAAGCTTCTACAATCAATTCAAATAACCAAGACATTGTTCCCCCAAAGAACTTAAAACTTCCAATCATTGAGCCTCTCAGGCTTTCCATTACTGAGCCTCGATGTACTCAAAAAGAGTACCTTCAAAAAACCTCACTTGGCCCCACATCCATGAAGACCATAACTAACCATCACCAGGACCCTGTTAATCAAGACATTTCACAGAACCTTCGTTTACTAATTCCCAGACATTCTCAACCTGTCTTCAGAAACCCTGCCACTAATTCCCACAAACCTCCGCCCGCCACCACCGAACGTCAACGAAGCTCAGAAACCAAATCACTAAACACTTCAGTTATCTCGCCTTGACCCTTATGGGTACCCATAACTGACCCAGTCAGGCCACCGTAGTCCCAGGTCAACCTCCTGCACAGATTAAAGCTTTACTTTCTCTAATTATTCGCATTTACCCATATCAGTACCTCCAATCCGAAACTGCTCTCATTATACGCTGTCTCACCGCAGTACAAGCTCTTCCCAGCCCAAGGAGCCGGTGCGCAGACTCAGTCACGACTTTGAGGCTGTAGGCCGCCATCAGGCAACCTTCCAGAGAACAGGATTCTGGGCAGAATTTCAATAGGAGGTATGATGGCCGCACACTCTTGACGATCACTTGACGGGAGCGGCCATGTTTTAAACTTTTCCGTACAAGGAATGACCAAATCCTTTGCTACACCAACGGATGATTCGCTATTTAAGGCGGGGTGAAGCAAGCACCGCAAGAAACATCGACACAATTCTTATAGCTTCTCTTATCGCTTCGGACTCCTAAATCCCATGTGACCAACATTCAGGAGCCTGGATCTCAAAACTGAAACTTCTTTGTCTCCCAAAGCCCAGGCCGTTAAGTAGGTTGGTCACATATATTTTTACGGCTTCTTACGCGCAACGAGCGTGGCCATCTCCTAAGAGGAGCTCCCATACGGTAAGATGAAATTTTTCAGAGGCAGAACTAGGAGTTGGAGCTCGGTGACGTTACTGCCTCTAACTCTGAAGTGGTCTGTGCAGGGGTCTCGGCTTCACGTGCGGGCGGGGCCTCGAGGAAGGGGCGAGGCAAAAGGAGGAGCCCGAGTAGAAAGTTCCCTATCCCTTACTGAAAAGATGCTGAAATCAGGGTCGTTATCTTAAGTGACGGGTCCGAGAATCTGACCTTAGAAAAATTATGAATGCAAGTAATTTGTCTGATAGGCGAAGCGGGAAGGATGGAAATCAATAGCACCAATGAGCAAATTATCCTGTGAGCAATAGGAGTTCTATCTTGAGCTCTGGGAGATTACGTAGAAACCACCTCCAGTGTCCCACCCAAAGCCTAAGGAAGCTGATTGAGGTATGCGCCATTACACATGCCTTACAGTTCAAGGGTTCCTCTTCACGCGTTAAAGCCAAGCCTGGGCTCGAAGAGTCCCGCACTCGCATACAGTCTGCAAGGGAGGATAATGAGTGCTCAGGGGAAGTGTTAGGGTGCTGACAGCACTCGCTGGAGACCTGCCTTCCAAAGTTCCATCCAAAGCAGTGCTCTGCACATCACAAGCACTGGAACATCTCTAGAAATCATTGCTTTATCCTAAAAAGTAGCTTTAAAATCCTAATTTTAGGGGAACAGTACTGTCACCTTAAACTCAACTACTCCGGAGGCTGAGACAAGAGAATCATAAATCCGAGGTCAGCTTTGGCAGTGTAGTAAGACCCAGCCTCAGAACGTAATGAGGAAATCAGAGTAACAAAGAGATGAAAATAAAATGGGGTGAGTGTGTAGCTCTGTGGAAAAATACTTGTCTAACATGCTTAAGGACTCAAGTTCCATCCCCAGCCTGGGAAGAAACAAAAAATCCTAATTTCAACTGGTCATAATAGGAATAGGATGTTTGTCGCTGGCCTCTAAAGTGGTTTATAATGATTCCTAGTATTCACACGCTTGTGAAGTCCCTTCTCATATAGTGGCAGGGTTGGTCTGTGAGACTAATACAAAAGCGATGATGCATCACTAATGAAATTAGGTTGCAGAAGACTCCTTGACTTTTGTCTCAAAACTGCTATGTTCTGTAGACCTTGAGACAGACTATGGAGGGCCCCATGTATTCAGAAACTAGGTTTTTAGTCAGTACTCTGAGGGGAACTGAGCTCTTCCTGTAACCTACTTGGTCATTTTAGAAACAGATCATTCAGTTCCTGAGACAACTGCGAGGCCTAATCAATATTTGACTATGACTGCACAACTCAGTTAAAGTCACATAGCTAGGGCTGAGAGGGTAGATAGGTGGTAGAGCACACAAGACCCTGGTCTTTCTCCCCGAACCAGAAAAACAAAAAAGCCAAAGCAACAACAACGACAAACTCCACACAACTATAGCAGCAACAACAACTGGCCCACAGAAAATATTTGAGACTACTATATGTTACTTTTAAGCTGCTGAGTTTGAAGCAATTTGTTATGTGTCAATAGGTAACTTCAAAGCTATGCTAAAATACTATATTTGACACATCTAAATTCCTTAAATAACTTATTAAACTTGTGAGATTATTAGCAGTTTATCATCCATCTATATGATAGAAAAACTGAAGGATTATGACTGGTAGATTTTAACAATTTATCAAAACTTTAGCCTTCTATCATTTGAATATAAGTGGTTTATCTGACAGTGCTTTACAGCGATTATTAGCAGTTACTAAAAGGGACTATAGAGTGCCTGTTACATGCTTGCCCTGTCGCTAGTCCCCACTCATTTCAATGGCTGGTGGTATTCTAGAATAAACTGATGAAGCTGTGCAACTGGTAAATTGTCACTCAACCACATGGTAGCAGGAATATGACAATTCAGGAAAGGGGAAAGATGGAAATATTAAAAACTGCTACAATTAAAGACTGCTGAAAACTCTGTGAGGCTATTGTTACCATCACTATGAGGCTATTGTTATCATCACTATATGAGAGAAATTTCAGGTGAAATGACCTTTTCATAATCACTATTACTGTAGGAAGTAGAGCTACAAGGAGTCTGAGCTAGGGATGTCTGTTGTGTTTGTTTTCTGTTATTAATAAATAACTTAGCTCTATCACTTTAAAAAGACCAAAGGCTTATTTTGTTTTACACTATAGAGGTTACAATCCATGATCCATTGGCTCTGTTACTTTGGGCCTGTGGCAAGGCAGCATATAATGGCAACATTGTATAACAAAACCATTCACCTAAAAGGCAATTAATTGGGAAAGAGAAGAGAAAGAAATGCAGATCCCACAATCCTCTTCAAGGTCACTTCCCCAGTGATCCAAAGACCTCCTGCTTGGCCCTACCTCATATATATTCTACCACTTCAAAATGACACCAAAAACAATAGGTTTTTGGAAGACAGTCAAGATTTAAACTATAGCATCTGTATTATACACAGGTATAAGATCATGGTATTACTGTTTGCTAAAAATTTATCAAAAACCACAATATATCTAAGGCACTGAATTAGGGAACAAAGTATGATATGTGCGCACATGTGTATGTGTGTGAGTGCATGTGTACATGCAGCCATATATACATATATGCTGTTGGGTCCTATTCAGGAAGTCTTTACCTCTGCCTGTGGGTTAAGATGTTTCCCTTATGTTTTAACAGTTTCAGTGTTTTGGGTTTTATGTATAGATCTTTCACTTATCTTAAATTATTTTTGCACAGGATAATAGAGAAGGAGCCAGTTACATACAGATATCCAGTTTTCCCAGCTCTATTTGTTAAAGTCTATTTTCAACATGTGATTTTTGGCTCCTTTGTCCAAAATCAGATGGTTGGAATCATGAGGGTTTATTTCTGTGTCCTCTATTCTGTTCATCTATGCAGGTATTCCTACTTTAACAACTGTCTTAGTTACTTTTTACTCTTTGCTGAGACAAAATACCTGAAGCCCAAGTTGGGAAAGGAAAGGTTTATTTCTTACAGTTTTTGGAGGTTTCAGTCCACACTCAGTTGGCTCCAAAGCAGGCGGGCATGGCTGGGCGCAGTCTATGGCGGCTGTAAACAGCAAGCTTGAACCAGCAAAGAGCAAGACTCACCTTCTTCCTGCCATTACATCACATCCTGGCTCCACCCCTTTGTGGGTGGAGCACTGACACCATCAATCCAAGTACTAGACAATGAACCAATCACAAATGCACAATGCAAATTCATGAGGCCTGGGGGACACAGACATAAACCATGACAACAACGTATCTTCTTAAGGATTGTTTAGACATACTATGGAGGCGAGCTGTTCAAACTAATGACCTGTGTCTCATCATATATATATTATATACATACATATATATATAATATGATATATATATATATGCACATATATAACTGTGCATTTTGTTTATAGAGCCTCAAGGTTTTTTTGCACAATACACCTTGGTTATTTTTGCTACTATACAGTACAGTACTGTAGTTTTATGTTCTGTTATGCATTACAGCACTGCATGTAAGAGTTATGCAAATAAAAGCAAAGTCATCAAGTTCAAGTTTCCTTTGAACATTTCTTTATTCTGAATATTATAAGGTATGTGGAGTACTATTTACAGTTCCTCATTTAATGATCAATTCTTGTAACAACTTAGTCACAGGAACATAATTTGGTTGTTAAATGAAGAGTGTCTGTATGTCTATTTTTGTGCCAGTACTATGCTGGTTTCGTTAATAGGTCTTTTATTTTTGATGCCTCCAGCCTTACTCTTTTTACTTAGGATAGCTTTGGATGGTCCATATCTCTTGTGTCCCATATGAAATTTAAGTTCGTTTTTTCTAATTCAGTGTAGAATTTCATTGGTATTTTGATGAGGATTGCATTGAATCTGTAAATTGCGTTTGGTAATATGGCCACCTTTACAATATTAATTTTTCCAGTCCATGAATGTGGGAGGTCTTTCCATTTTCTAGTGTCTTCTTCAATTTTTCAGTGTTCTAAAATTTTCATTATAGAGGTCTTTCACCTCCTTGGTTAGACTGACTCCTAGATATTTTATTTTTTCAAACTATTATGAGAAAATTTTTTCCTGGTTACTTTATTAGCTAGTCCATTATTGATGTATAAAAAGATGGTTTTAAAATGTTGGTTTTATATCCTGCTACTTTGCTGAGTTGGTTTTTCAGCTCTGAAAATCTGATGAAGACTTTAGAGTCTTCCTAAATATAGGACAAATTCATCTGCAAACAAAGGATAATTTTACTTCTTTCTTTCTTATTGCATCTTTCTCTTCCCTAATTACTCTAATTCATATTTCAAGAATTGTATTGATGGGGCTGGGGATTTAGCTCAGGGGTATAAACACTGCCTTGCAAGTGTGTGGTTGTGAGTTCAATCTCTGGTACCTATTGATACATATGATAAAAAATGAAAAGACAAAAAAAAAAGAAGAACTGTATTGACTAGCAGTGGCGAAAGTGGCCATTTTTGCCTTATTCCGGATTTTATAGGAAATGCTTTGTTTTTCCCCATTCAGAATGATGTTGGCTGTGGTTTTGTCATACATGGCCTGTACTGTATTGAGGAATGATTTTTTTTTGTCTTTTTGAGACAGTTTCACTGTGCAATTCAGGCTGACCTTGAACTCACTTTGTAGCATAGGCTGGCCTTGATTTCACAGCAATCCTCCTGCCTCAACCTCCTGGGATTAAGACACCTTGAGGAATGATCTTTTTTTTTTTTTAACACCAAGTACATTTATTAGAAAAGAAGTAAGTTATGAAATATCCTCATATCTTTCTGTAAGAAATTAGAAATAAAAGAACACCAAAAACTAATAGAAGAAAATAATAAAGATCAGAAAACACAATCCCTTATCAAAATGACAAAATCATTTTTCATAAAATTGACATTTTGATTCTTACATTCCTGTAAAAATACAGAAGATTCAGAATAGTCTAAACAACTTTGATAAAGGAACAAAATTAGAGCTCCAACCCT